GTTGTTGCTCTTAGAAAAAGGTCATCGCAGTGCATGACAATTGCTGCGTTTGATGGAGGCATTTGTAAAATGCAAGAAGCAGTACATTCATGAGTAGCAGCACATTCATGCGAAGCAGCACATTCATGCCAAGCAGCACTATCATGCAGCACACAAGTGCTTCCTGTAGCATGAACAACCATGCATACAAACAATGTGACCCAAACACGTGCTTTGTCAACTGCCCAAACAACAAGATCAACAGCCCATACAACAGATCAAGCTCTTCGGTTCTTGCAATTTGTATCTTGATTTTGTTATGTATCTGCGCTAGTTATCATAATAGCATCTTATTTACATGGGCCTGCTAGTAACAAACCAGCCCTATCAGTGAACTATATCATACAAGGTACAACCTTTCCTACACCCTAGTCAGTAACAAGTCATACGGTATTTGTCATCTCCACCTGGGTTGCTGGAACTGCTGTTTCTGCGAGGCTGCTGTAGCAGTCTGGCCTCGCAGCTCACTGTTGCTCCCTGCTGCTGCCTGCACTCCCTCCACCCCCACCCCTCCCCCCTCCCTCACAGCTGAAACTGAACCATTTCTCAAGGGTGAAAAGGGTAGAGAGGGAGGCACTGGCACTATGAATATTGACTGGGAAGGCAACACCGACTAAACAAATCAGCATCACTGCTGGCAAATGGTCATATACTAGGGGAAGTGGTCTGAGGAAGCAAGCAGAGATAGGAGTCGGGAGAAATATAGATACGCAGGCAAGTTCCTGGATTTTCTCAAACCCATGCAGTTATGCCTCAGGAGGGTTTGTGAGTGAAGGGTGGTGAAGGTTGATTGGTAGCGAAAGGAACGGAAGTTGATCGGGCAGAAAGGAGGGGAGTTGTGAACACAGAGAGGAAAGAGCTTGAAACTTGAAATGGGCAGAAAGGGAGGCACTGGAACCATGACCAACACCGACCGACAGGGAAACACAGACTATAAATGTTTTTGTAAGCAAAAGTAAAATTTGTTGAAGCTGGAGGCATTAATGAGAAGGAAGCAGCTGATGAAATTCATTACCAGCAACTGGAGGGTTCCAGAAAAAGCAAGTGAGCATAAGCAAGTGAGCATGAGCATTCCCACACTCCTGATAAACCATTTTCCCCTTCTTCACCGTCCTCTGGCGAAAGGCACGCCACCAGCCGTTCCTCCCTCCCACGCGCCACTCCCTCCCAGCATCATGGTGAGATGAAATGAGCACGAGCAACTGAACGCATTATAAGCTGATGTGAATGACATGAGGCTCAGGAGCGAAGGAGCGGATGATGAGCCAATGAAGGGGACGTGACAAACAGGTTAAAGGATTGAAAATTTGAGAAGAAATGCATGAGAATCGTGAAGGATGATGAGATGATCTGATTATGGATTGGCACGAAATCGTGAAAGCACCAGGATCTGATGAAACTGGCTGGCATGCAATGCAGCATCATATGCTCATAGAAAAGCAAGCATGTACAGAAACATACGGCAACAACAACTTCAGCTGATGTGAAAAAAAATGGAACATTTCTTGGTTCCTTACTGCTGTGAAGTTCCAGAGAGGTGAGAGAACTTTAGAGGGGGAGATAAGAAGGGAGAGAGGGACAGTAGAATGTATGAGATTATGCTAAAATGGGTCTAACATAAGCACTAAAAGCATCAAGAGCTGATGTGAATGGCATGAGACAGTAAAAACAATCCGGTAAAAAAATACGAGAGCATCAAGAGCTGTTAAGGAACAGTGAAAGAAATCAGGCAAAAAGGTGAAAGCATCAAGAGCTGACAAGGAATGGTGAACGCATCTTGAGCTGATAAGACTCTGACGACAAACTTAAAGCCTGGTGACATCATGAGGTGATGAAACTGGAATGAACTACTCACCAAGCAGCACATGATGGTAAGAAAGGAAAAAAATGAAACAGCGTTGGTTATGCATAAGTACTGCTCAAATTCCAAAGAATTGGAAGGGGGGAGGGAGGGAGGGATGAGATGGGACCAGGCGGTGGTGATACAGATAAACAAGAGATGTCAGGATTAAGTGCGTTGAAATCATTCCAAGCAGGGGGTAAGAGGAGGGGATGCAGAGGGAAGGAAACAAAATAGCACGGAGAGAATCAGACAGCTAGTGCCAGCCACATCAAGTCACTACTTCCTGGTTCACCCATCCACACAAAAACACCACCAACCATACCTTCCTTCCATGCACCACTCAGTCGCAACACACAAACACAGAATGCACATCAACAGCATGTATACGTATAAATATTCCTAGAACAGATTCCTAACCTAGAGCAAAACCTAGTATTATCTTGCACTTCCTACTATCCAAGAGCCAAGCAGGTGCATGGTGCAGCAACAGATCACACAATCAGGTCAGCATGAGCATTCAGGTGCATCAGCAGAGGATCCAAGGGCATGTCATTCCCCCTCGTGCCATGCCTTCCCATTCCAGCTCACCACATTCCTCCACCTCTCCTCCCGTCTCTCCCACAACACCCTGCAAGCAGGGTGGAAAAAGGGGTAAGTCCCTCCATGCACCTCCCTCTAGCCCCCACCAGCCATACCATCTCACCCACCTCACTCGTCCCTTGAACACGCCATGGATCGCATCTGCTGCTGCTGTCTTTTTTTCTTCTTCTTCTTGTTAGTTTTCTGTTTCTTTTCTGATTATTTTTCACTCCTTTGCTACCTTCCCTGGCCTGGGAATGGCACTTGCCGTCGCTCCTGCTGCGGCCCTCCTTGTTGACGCACTGCTTGCAGGTCTGGGGATTCCGGATGCGCCAACAAGAACCTTTGCACTTGCAGCTTTCACATCTACCGTCGCAGTAGGTCCTGGAGGTGTCGCCTTAGCTGGCACGGCCTTGGTTGGTGGCGCCACCTTAGCTGGCGTCGCCTTGGCTGGGGTCACCTTAGCTGGTGTCGCCTTAGTTGGCGCCGCTTTGGCTGGCGTCGCCTTGGCTGGAGTCACCAACTTAGCTTCCGTCGTCTTTGCTGCTGTCGCCTTAGCTGCCGTGGCTTTGACTGCTGCAGCTGCGACGGTCGCTTGACCGCTCTGCACCGCTCTGGGCTTCACAGCAGCAGCGGTACCCATCACATCCCTGGGCCTGGGCTTCTTGCTGGGCGGCTTAGCCACGGGCTTGGGTCGCAGAGGGGAGAAGCCGAGTGACGCACGGGGGGAGCGCATAGCGCACTGCTCTTTCTCGCTGAAGCGCCCCACGCGCCATGCAATCGCGCGCCGCCACATCTTCAAGACGTTAGCGCCGCGGCGCGTACTGCTGAAGCTACTGCTGATGCCGCACACCGCAGCGGATCCAACAAGAGACGTGGTGATCCGAGATGCCATCGCACTAGGAGCGAGAGGCTAATCGCACAGGCGGAACGAGAGGCGAAGCTAGGAGCTGAAGCTGATCGAAGTTCCGAGTAGCTAGTAGCTGAGTCTGAGAATTGATGGAAGGAGATTGCAACTGTTGTTGTGGTGGGAATGAAGTGGACGGGTGGCCTATGTAGTGTTCCAAGGCGGAGAGAAGAGTGGATGGAGCTCGACTACGGAGAGAAGCAACTCTCGAGGCTGCGCCTGCTGCCCGAACGGAGAAGAAAGACGAAAAAAAAAACTCCGAAAAGTGCTCTGAATCTGCTCTGTCTATGGACGTGGACCACTGAGGGTTTGGTCAGCCAATAGGAGGAGGCCGAGCCTGCTCCAAGACGGACCTCGAAGCGGCCTAGCATTTGGCCCGCCAATGAGTAGTCCGAGACCTCTGCTCCAAGCCGAACCTCGAAGCCCAGCTCTGTCGGTTGACAACATTGCGGCTCGTTCATCTACATTCACGGAGTTTCTGGGCAGCAGGCTCAACTGTAGCTGCCCAGAAATATACGGAACGATTTATCCGTTACTCTCGCCCGCTGCCCGTGGTCTAGGAAGGGGTTCGTCTACAACAAAGAGGGTTCTGCTGGTGTTTGACTGGATGACCGGTGAAAATGGAGGGAGTTGCTGCCGTGAGATGAGCTCGAGGCTGCTCGAGAATGTCTCCGTTCAGTTCCGTCGCCGCTTCACAGCGGCGGGTGAACGCGAGTGCGACAGCCCTTGCTGCGTCCTAGACGGAAACTAATGTCGCTGCCGCCAGCAAATCAGTCCCGCAACAATCCATTTCTTGGGAACTACGCTCCTAGGGTTTCGTCATTCGATTATGGTTCCGTTCCGACATTTTCGCCTGGTCGGATCAATGTCCAGCCCAAACAGGTCCAGTGCCATAACCGAATCCGAGCCGAACCGAACCCGGTTCAGTTTTCCTCGAACCAGTTCCCTCCCTGTCTAGCAAATTTTCTCGACTCTTTCCCTCCACGCTTCGTCGTCAATCTCAGGACGCGGGCACTCCCTCCACAATTGCGTGATCGAACCTACGCAGGTTCGTTTATTTACAGGTTTTCAAAAGGTTGGTAAGGTTTTAGTTTGTAAATGCAGGTTTCAAGAGCGGTGGCGGATCGAAATTTCATTTTCGATCTCCCAATTCGACGCGAGTGCCCGCGTCCTCAAAGTCTCTGCGCATTTCCCGCTTCGTTCGCAACGATGTCTACTCAAGATTCAAGAAACCCAAGCAGAATCAACGATTGCGATTGATTCGGTTTGGCCCAGACTAATCGACCTGCCTTTTTTGGGTGTGATCCAGATGGGTCGAGTTGGGCCGTGTTGGATCGCCTAGATCCATGAAAGGCCGTCTTGGAAATGAGAGATTGCGGCCTTGGATAGAGGCAATCCAACCGAGCTGCACCACGTGGTTACATTCGCAACATACGGCCTAGAAGTTGAAAGTGAGACTGAAGCAGCAGGCAGAACAGCTAGGTGCAAGGATTTTCGCAACACTGTTAGCGCGAACAACAGCTGAGGTTTGGGAAATATAAGGCGTCAGCGTAGGTTTGGCAATCATAGTAGTCACCTTCTAGTCGCGCAACTTTCTCGCCTTTCAAGTTCCCGTTTCCTGGTGGCAGGACAATGGTCCAGCGGCGGGGAGGCGGCGGAAAGGATGGGGCAACGGGAATGGCAGAGGAGGCGCACGTGCCGCTGCAAGCCATCCTATTGGCTGACAGCTTCGCGCAGACATTCCGACCAATCACGCTGCGCAAACCCAAGGTGGGCGCGCACGGCTACTTAGATGTCTGTTAAACCCTTGCCACGCACGCTTCCATTGCTAAGCACTGTGCGCTGTATTAAAGTATCTTATAACGCGTCTGATCGATCTGGCGCGTCTTCTCGAGCACGCCGTTACAAGAAGTAGCGGATCGTCCTCGCTCCCTCGAGAGTGTTCTGTGCCACTCACGTCTGTCCTTCTCTCGCCTGCCATCGCCTCCCATCGCCTCCCGCTCCCCTTACGGCCGGATGCGCTGTGAATTCAATGATCCCCACTTGTCTCGCGTAGTGCCGCCCCGCCGCTCCCCTCTCTCCTCCGGGTGCGCGGCTGGTGCTGCTGCTGCTGCCGGTGAAGGGCGTGGCGATACACGCTCAATTCAAACGGTCCCCTCGTGACCGGCAGCAGCACACGCCGCTCGATACACGCTCGTGACAATGGCACACGCCGCTCCTCCCTTCCCCCGCGTGCGCGCCAGGCGACGCTGCGGCTGGCGCGCGGGGCAATGGTGGACTGCATACCGCTCGGCTCAAATAGCCAATCGCCCGTTGCAATGCCGCACAACGCCGCTCCCTCTCCACCCCACACCCTCACACCTCACTTCCTGCTGCACGCAGGTGCTGCTACCCGTGTCTGGCGCGCTCATGGTGGTCTACGCACTCCACTCGCGCACTCACCTCGATCGGCACAATGGCATACGCACAAAACGCCGCTCCTCCCCCCCCTCCTCCCCATCCCCCCTCTCCCCCTCTCTACTGCCGCGCGCAGGTGCTGCTGCCGGTAGCGGGCGCAGCAATGGTGGACTACACGCTCGGCTCGAACAGTCCCATCTCCCCCCTCCACAACCTCCCCTTCTCCCCTACTGCCGCGCGCAGGTGCTGCTGCCAGTGGCAGGAGCGGCAATGGTGGACTACACGCTCGAGTCAAATAGTTCCCTCTCCCCCTTCCAACCCCCCCTCCATCCGTGCCGCGCGCAGGTGCTGCTACCAGTGGCGGGCGCGGCCATGGTGGACTACACGCTCGAGTGGCTCGCCATGGCGGGTGTCGAAGAGACCTTCGTCTTCTGCTGCGCGCACTCCCAACAGGTGCGCCACTCCCCCCAGGTGCGCCACTCCCCCCAGGTGCGCCACTCCCCCCAGGTGCGCCACTCCCCCCAGGTGCGCCACTCCCCCCAGGTGCGCCACTCCCCCCAGGTGCGCCACTCCCCCCAGGTGCGCCACTCCCCCCAGGTGCGCCACTCCCCCCAGGTGCGCCTCTTCCCCCAGGTGACCTGCATTGACCTCAAGGTTCAAAAATACGGTAAATGTAAATTACGGCTCGTAAATTACGGTCGTAATTTACGGTGGTTTTGGCAAAAATACGGTCGTTTTTTTAATGGACTTTTTTGCAGCATTTTTTTTTGTTTTTTTCCAGAAACTCCAAGAATGCTTACAACAATGTCTAGAAAGGCGACAACAAACTACACTACAGAGAAACAAGCCTATAATGGACCGCTACGCCACTACCATTGCTAAGCCTACCCAGAAGTACCTACCTTTAGGCTAGATCTGCTCCTACTCCCTCCCCACACTACGCGAAAAAAACACACTCGCGTGGACTTGGGCGCACGAAATTTCTCACAAGCAGGGTGACGGTTGGGAATGTTGAAATTCGCTAGGCACAAGCTCGGTTTCAAAATTTCGGTCGTAATTTACGACCGTATTTTTGAACCAATCCAATTTTGCAAGGTCGAACCGTTTTTTACCGTAATTTACGGCCGTAAATTACGATACCGTAATTTACGGTAAATTTTCAAAAATACGGTCGTATTTTTTAACCTTGATTGACCTGCATTGACCTGCATGCATTGACCTGCATTGAGCTGCGTTGACCTGCATTGACCTGTACCTGCGTTGACCTGCGTTGACCTGCTTTGACGTGCATTGACCTGCGTTGACCTGCGTTCACCTGCGTCCACCCCATCAGATCCGAGCGCACCTGGAGGATGCCGGCTGGATGCGCCCCTCCTCCTCCTCGCACCATCAGGGGGGCGGCGGGCAGCGGCACGGCATGCGGGTGTCAACGGTGGTGGCACATGACTGTGTGAGCGTGGGGGACGCACTCCGACACATGGATCACAAGGGCGTGGTGAGATGAGACACATGGACCACAAGGGCGTGGTGAGATGAGACACATGGACCACAAGGGCGTGGTGAGATGAGACACATGGACCACAAGGGCGTGGTGAGATGAGACACATGGACCACAAGGGCGTGGTGAGATGAGACACATGGACCACAAGGGC